AGGACCAGTCTTATTTCCATTGCTATCATTTTACAACTAATGGATTATTTGAATGACACATCGTATGGTACATGTGCTAGATAATACATTCCAGATACTACAGGTCAAGTCCATATTTTTAAAAAATAGTCATTTCCTTACAATTTGACCAACTGATTATAGTTACACTCTATTCAGTAGTTTCATGCCAGTTTCTTCATCTCTTCTATCTGATGAAAACGTGTTACAGCATCAAATATAACATGCCACTATGAAAACTTTTCTAACTGTTCCAGTTACCAATGATCTTTGTCTTTTTTTGTTTTTTTTGTTTGATTCCTTTGTTTGTTTTTCTTTGTCTTATGATTTCTTTTTGTCTCACACATCTTCCACTTACCCCCAAAGTAGTAAGAACTCTATGTCATGTTCCTTAGATACTGGGATAACATAAAGCATGTGTAACAGCAATGTTCAATAAATATTAGTTAGGTGACAGAGAGATGTAGAATTCTAAAATAAATTGCCATATAAACTCAGCTAAATACATATTTTCTGATCCACCCATATATGCAAAAATTATAAGAGGGTTGAGAGTTGATAACTTGAAGATAAAATTTTGGATTCAAGTGAGAAGGGATTTGATGAAATTGATTGTAAAGCTTAAGGTGCTGACCACATCTGTTTCCCCAACTTCAGGCTTCATGTCTGCAGTACTCTGAAATTCATGCATGTCTTAGAGGTTGGTGTTTTAAAGGTAATTGGGACTTTTATGGAATCAAATTCTTTTGTTAGCAAACTGGCACCATTTTATGCTGCTAGAAATGGCTGATCGGCAACCCATATAATGTAAATGAGATGATCAGTCAAGTCCTTGTCCCAGACAGATTTAGAAACTGAATTGGAGTGGTGACGGGGTAGAGGGGCAAGAGAAACAAAAAATAAGATGGTTTATCATTGGCCTCTTTAAACCTTTTCCCCTTGATGATGTAATTACTTTTGTCATAAAAATATCAATGTTGACAGTTGTAGAACTCTGTGGATAGATATTTTAGTAGAAAATCGCCTTGGGAAAGACTGTGCACCTCATGAATTTTTTTCCTGTCACCTGAGGAACTCCTGCTATCACTATTGTACTGTTCACAATAGGACCCCTCCATCAAAGGGTATATTGTATTGCTCTTTTGTGAATTACCATGCCAGGGAAAGAATTAACTCAATCTAGTATCTTTCACTCCAATGATATGATTCTGGCTCAAGAAGTCCCTTCCACTAAGGGTGACTTCCAGGATTCTGACATAATCTTCTTTTGTCTCTTGATACTGACTTCTGGTTTTCATTTTCTTAAAAAGCAACTCCTCTACTTCCCAATGCCTTCATGAGCTAACACATTCTCAGTTCCAAAAAACGCAACAATAAAGTTGGTGACAATTCTATCATACAGTCAGCCATCTAATTTTGGTCTGCTCAAGATTTATGGAACACTTGATGTGTAAGAATTTTCAGAGGTTATGAAGCCTGCTGCTCTCAGCAATAATGTCAAGACACACGGAGTAAATATAAATGTCACCAATCAAGTCTCACTAAAATAGCTAAATACTTAAATATATGGAAGATTCTCCTTTTGAATGTAATAAAGCATTTATTTATTTATTTATTTATTATTTTTGTCTTTTTGAGACAGGATCTCCCTGTAGTCCCAGCTGACCTGAACTCACTATGTAGACCAGGCTGGCCTTGAAGTCACAGCAATCCGCCTGCCTCTCCCTCCCTAGTGCTGGGACTAAAGGTGTGTGCCACCATGCCCGGCTATTTAAATGTTATTTCAATAAAAACAACTCTCCTAATCTCTTCAAATTCATTTATTTTGTTTGACTGAAAATGAAAGTGACAAATGACAATCCACCTTTCAAAGATATTTGCAATTTGTTCCTTATCTGTGTTTTAGGGTCTCAGATCTTTGGATCTCTCAGTTCTCAAAGTTATAATCAGATTGTGTTATTATAAGGATTAAATGAGATGATTAAATATATATACCCAAATGTTAAATGCATACAAGTAATGATAAAACACATTATAGTAGGAGAGAATTACTTTTTACATTTTAATGACAAAACTTATTTTGACTTTTTGTATTTAAGTCACGTATTTCAATGCTCCAGTTGATGTCATTCTCCATGAACTATTTTTCATCAAGAGACCTATGATTAACATGGTAATGTCAAGCCTTGGTTCTGGTAATGCTGGAGTATCTTATATTGTACTAACCCTTCAGCAGATGATAACAAGGAACTTTGGGAAAAGTAATTTTATAGTTTATGGTAACAACTTAAACAAGAACAATGATTGTTACAATAATCTGTAAAAGATTAATAAATCAAAGGATATTCACGTACTCTCAGAGTATCCCCCCATAAGATACTTTCTTGTAAACAGAGGAAAATCTCCCTTAACAATAGAGAAGTTCAGCAGAAAGCTTGTTAAGAAGTAATTCAAATGCATATCAGAAGTAATAAAACAATTTCCTATCTGGGGCCTTCAGTGACAATGTACTGTGAAGAATACACCATCACTCCTGAAATTTTAACTGCCCCAAATTCACAATCTGAATTAAGTCTAATCATGAAAAGTCATCTGATAAACCCAAGTGAAAGGATTCTCTAGTGCATAATTAAGAATATTTATAAAACAAGGGCAAAAGACTGAAGAATTATTCTTTAACTATCCATTAATGCTTTAAATTAAGTTGATTAATACATAAAATAAAAATAGATTTCTAATACTCATATCTGAAATATTAAGTGATTATGTGTAGAAGCGCACTGGGCATGGAAGACGGGCAGCACTTTCATCATCACTGTCAATTCTGTGAGACAGTTTTCTTCAAGAAGATTAAAAAGACTAGTGGGGAAAGACAATGGCAGACAGTACTCGACCTAGAATTTAATTTTACCATAAAGGACACAATTGGGGGAAAATCTGAAAAATCTCAATAATGTATCACTTTTAAATTCTATGATTTGATAGTAGGTCTGTGGCTGATTGTACATTAGGAAATATATTCCTAATAAAACATTTAGCAATAAGTGGCATTGTGTCAGCAAATTACTCTCAAAAGATCTAGAGAAATTATTTGAGATAGATTCATACATGGAATATTTATGAGGGAATACATATGTGATCAAATTGCATAGATAAAGGCAATAATCTGTATTTGCCAGGTATGATGGAGTATACCTATAATCACAACCCTTCAGAGGCAGAGGCAGACGATCTCTGTGAGTATGAGGCCAGCTGGTTTATATGGTGAGTTCCAGACCAGACAGGGCTACATAGTTAGACCCTGTACAAAAATGTAAAAACAGAAAAATAAAAAAGGCTATCTACCTTTGACCTCACTGAACATGCCTGAAAAAGACTAAGAGGTAAGCTGTGCCATGTTCATACACTGGCAGAATCATTACTGTGTACATTGCCCCCAGCAGTGATCAACTCAACTGAATAACAATACATCTTTTAAGCCTAAATTTTATTGAGCACCTGAAGATATCATACAGTTCATACAAGATTTCAAAGAACTAGACCAGCCCATATTACATCTTGGAGAAGAGCAAAGTTTGAATATCTAAACTACTTTATTACACTTCTTCCAAAAAGCATTACAGTTAATAAAGTCACATTTGTGTAACAACAGACCAAAAGAATGGAGAAACAGCAGAGAGCCTCCGGATACAGACCCACACATATTTAATCAATGATTTCTTCACAAGGAAGTCCAGAACAATAGGATAATCTTTAGGAAAGAGATCAGCATTGATTCTTATTAGGAAGTCTTGCAACAATGATGTCGTCAAGAAAATAGGATAACCCTTAGGAAAGAGATCAGCATTGATTCATATTTCATACCTCACACAAAAATTAACCTAAGATGGACCTTAGATCCAAGTATAAAAGCAGTGCTATCCAAAATACTAAAACAGCAGGCTTGGTGGTGCATACCTTTGGGAGAGAGAAGTGGGTGGATCTCTATGAAATGGAGGCCAGCCTTGTCTACACAGTGAGTTCTAGGCCAGCTGGGCCAATAGGGAGACCCAGTCTCAAAAACAAGCAAACAAAAAATATTAAATCATGAGATACTATTGTGAGCTTTGAGGTAGACAGAGGTCATAGAAATGACTCTGAAAATCCTAAACACAAGAGGGAACCTAATAATTTATACTTAATCAAAACTGAAAACGTCCACTCAGAAGATTCCCCTGATACTGCAAACAAGCTGACAGATTAGACTGGTGTTACCCAGTTTTCTGGCATCATTGGAATAGGATTTGAGATTTAAGATGATTTTGATTATTTAAAATAAGTTACAGTTTCATATACTTGATTTTTAAATTATTTTGATTTTTGCATTTATTATATGAACTAAGAATTTGAATAATAAACATACTGAAGAATTATTGTCCAAAGAATACTGTTCTGGGGCTCCAGACATGCACTTTGTTGCAAGAGGAAGAAATACCTCTTTGTGTTGATTTTCTGGCTCCATATTCTGAATATTCGTGGTCCGTTTCCTAAATACTAATTCCTTCTTCACAGGTTTGAAATGAATACCGCCCCTACCACTTTCCTGGCAATGAGTACCCTCAGATGACCCTGGAAATGCATTGTGCTGGCTGACATTGCCTCCTTAGAAGCCATTACTAATGAGTTACTGTAGTATCATTTTTCACAAACCCCTTTTCACTATTCATGTATTATAATAATCTTAATTTAACCCCTTTCCATGCAGTTCCACTGAAGACCATGTTCATAAGTGTATTTAAGAAAAATTAATTTTTTTCATATCACTGTTACCATGGGAAAACTCCTTAAGCTTTCAAAACCTTCTTTCTTTGTTTTGTTGTCCAAAGTATTTTTATTGATTTTTTGTGAATCTCATACTTGTTAATCATATTTAGACCTCCTCTATCTGTACCTCCCCATAGGTCACCCCCAGGATATCCCACATTCTGTCTTATCTGTTAAAGCTTACAGAGTCAAGTTTGTGTACCCAGCTGTCTCTCGATATGAATCCATCCACAGGAGCCTATTCAGCCTATCTAGCATCACTCCCTTAAAGAAGATCAACTCTCTCTCACCCAGCAGTGATCAGCTGCCAATAGTTCCTCAGCTAAGGTAGGGGCCTCCTGACCATTTCCCCAAAAGCAAAACCTCCTTTCTTTATTTGTAAAACAGCATTATTTTGCCTGTGTTGACATATCCCTAGGGTCTGGGTGAAAGAAAAATCTAATCTGTCATGTTTTTTTAAAAAATCTGAATCATTTTGTGGAGGAAGTTGTTTATTACCTTTTGGTTTTGGTTAGTGTTCATATACTCCACGACCTTATTCCTGGGACTTGATTATTTTAGGTATGGGTTCTGTCCCTACAAACCACTTTCTGCTGGTTGCCAAAGGCTGAACAATTGTTAACTTTATCACCATTGTTCTTACAGACTTTGATGAACGCCTTCACAGCAGCTGCTCTCCCGCACAGTCATTTGTGGAGATTGTTTCTTCCCTCACTGGAACCTGGAGTATTCTCTTTCGGAGACAGGCCTTCCTCTGAATCACTGCTTTTGGTTGCACTCTTCTTAGAATATCTTTCAGGCCCAAATTATCTCATGATGGATGTGATTACCTGTTCCCTTAAGGACTGAATATCATACTAGGCTTTTGAGACAATCAACACAATTAGGTGTAGGCTTTATCTTCATTTTATGCTTTATGTAATATGCGTCCAGCTTATCTCCCCTCTAGCCTGGCAATATGAGCAGTCAGTTAGGCTCCAAGTAGGTTCAGTGGCTTCTATTTCAGGAGCAGAACACATGTTACATCCATTTCTGAGAGAATGTGAGGCTTTCTGTATGTTCCCCAACCCCATATATATTCTTCTGCAGGTAACAGGGGATTGCTACAGCTTAGTGCTTACTAAGAAATGATCACCATTTGGAAGGTCAGGCAAGGCTTCTCCATTAACTCTCACACTGAATGTGCACAATCCTAGGTATTAGGCTTAAAAGAATATTATTATAGTTATTATTGGATGAAGAAACTGAGGCTCCAAGATGAAAAAGTTTATTAACCTTAGCAGATGAGTAAGGGATGGATGTGCACTGGGAGACTGGGTCTTTGATTCCTGGTCTAGGACCTGTTTTTTTTTTGTTTTTTTTTTTTCATAATGAACTGATTTTAATCAAATACAAAAACAACGTGTATAAGTATTTTTAAAACCCCAAAATGGTAATAGCCTCATTTGAATGCAAAGGCAAACAACACAATTATAAGAATAAAGTGAAGGCTTTTGAAAATCTTTTAGTAAATTGCTTGGTTATATCTGATAATTTCCTTCAGATAAATAAATCTTATTTTTACCCTTCTACTTAAGTGCCTTTCTGGCTTAGTTTCACAAATAGCATATTCTGTTCAAACAAATAGAGCTTGAAACACTTGTGATTTTCTCCCTTGACTCTCATGTTTCCTTCTCTCACTCTTTTTTATGATTATGGCCACACTGGCAGCTGTGTTCGTTGCAATCTATGGCTGGCTATACCTTTAAGTACCTAGCTTGGAAATCATTCTGTCCCTCTAGATTTGAAAAATTACACCCCATCTCCCAATTCAAGATACACTGAGACAGAGCTGTGCTGTCTGCAAGAATATTAGTTCTGAGAATAGGATTACTGTTTGCCCCACACACTCAGCTCTCTTGCCAGCAATAATCAAAGCACACTGGTATTTCTTTAATGACAAAGCCTCCCGGTGTGTTAATTTGGTTCTCTGTGACACTATATCTTGTCAGAGTAGAGAAATGGGAAAACATATATTAATATCACTGTCAGCCAACTGGTTCACTTTCTATGTAATACATATCTAGAAGGAATAAGGACTTTAGTTGTGTGTGTCTAGGAGGATACCTGGGTTCTGAGAGGGCCATGGACTCAGACATCCTGTTGTCCCCAAAGGGAAGACTTTTCCCATGTAACTGCTTGCTCTGGTACTAAAGAAATTAACTTTATCCATCATGACAAATTGCCCTGCCATGGAGCATCATCTTTACACCATTCCTTAAATGTTTCTTATCCCATGGCATAGAGGAAGAAAAAGGGATGTGCCATTGAGTAGACTTGGCCTCAAGTGACTGTCTGATAATGAGCTCTTCACTCCAGTCCCAGAACACTCACTGATAAAGCCTGAGTTGCTGGTATTGAGAAACTATTTAAATGGCTTTATGGTCACAGTATTCACCCTCAAACCTGAAACTGATCTATAAAGCAACAAAACCCCAGCACAGAGATGATCTAAAATGTGGAGATACATGTTTTAAAATGTTGCTCAAATGGGAAATGAGACTCGGGGCCAAGCCCGTGTCATATTGTCAAAAAATGTCTACTTATATGCTTTAGAACTAGGAATGCTCTTGGCTCAATCTATACATTTTAAGTTCCAATAATGATAGTCCCATTTCCTGAAGTCACCTGCATTGCTAATTAACTTTAAGTATCACTGTTTTCTGGAACTCTGAAGACAGCTATCTTCTACCTCCTATTTTTCAAGAAATTTTTATGGCTTCAAGCTTGTGTTTTTGCATTGGGCTTTTTTGTTTTCAGATGTCAGTGCATAAATTGATGGGGGTTGGTTCTAGAAAGCATCATTATTCCTTTTAATTAGCAACTGTCCCCCAAAATAGCTTGTTAAAGGGGAACTGACACTTTCCTTTCCTCTTTCCTTTCTCATCAAGACGCTCTAAATTTACAGCAACCCACTGGAGCCTGTCAGCGTGCCTACCGTGTTTGCAGTCCAGCCCAGCCTTAGCCTTTTCGAGACGTTCTCAGGGCCTGTGCTTGGTTTGCCTCTTCCTGTTTGCCTTGTAACTTTAAATAATGTGGTTGCTTCACAACCACTTGTTTTTTGAGTAGAGAGCAGGGCTTATTTTTCTAGCAGATAAAATGACTTCCCACCATTCACTCTTTGTTATTTCCCCTTTCTGAAGGGCGGCCTGATGAATGCAGGGCGACATGTAATGCATGTTTTCCTGTTTTCTGCTGTTTCTCCATTGGGCTTGTCAGTCAGTCATAGGCTCGGTTCAGGGGAGGATGTGGCATTCATATGAGAAGGAAGTTACAAAGAATCTGTATGTGTGTGCGTTATATTTCTCACAGAGTATATATTCCTGTTTGAGAATCAGGTGTTACTGGCATTTATTTCTAAGGTGTCATGCACGTAAGTAGTACAACTGGAGGCTAGTCATTAGGAAAAGGGAACTATAGAAACCAGGCACTGCACTACCATTTCCTGAGCTATCATACCAAACCTTTATAGAAACCTACAGATGAATTGTGATGTGATGCATTAGGGTTACACCCACTGAGGGCTTAAAGGAACTCTAGGAAAATATAAAGAAAATTGTATGTTTAAAATCTAGACTGTTTTGGGCAAGATCTCCTAGACCACCGGCTTCTCCTGACCCCACCTCTTACACCTCAGGATCTAGTCAGCTTCCCCTCGCTGCTGAATGTGATTTTTTTGTTAGTAAATGCCTGCCTGTAGGACGCCCTAGGACTTGTGGGTTTTGAGGAGAGTGGTGTTGGCAGACTGGTCCACAGCCAGTGGCACTCAGTGGCAGTAGCCATCTGAGAGGAAACTATGGACACGAAAAGTTTTCTTCTAAAATTTTTAGCAAAGAGAATGTAAGCTTAGTTTATTACGCTAAATGAATTAGAAATAAAATATAAACACATAAGGGGTTCAGGCCATGGGCATTTCTATTTTGTGACATCATATGGGATCATATTAAATAAGACTACTTTATATGGTAGGGGCCTAGAGGGCCTTTTAGCTTAATATGTCAGATGACAGTTACTTACTTGCATTCATAGCCATGATTTAATTAATTCTGAAAATAGTTTTAATAATAAAACACCTTTGCTGAATATTCAAATATTTCTTATAATTTAGAATCTATTTTAGGACACAGGTAGGAATTAAACTAGCCTAATACCTAGTTGTTTAATGAAAGAAATAAGAGAGGTGCACTGACTATAAAAATGGGGTGATGTGGCATATAATATTTGCGTATGTGACACATAACTTTTGCGTATGTGGCATATAATTTTTCTTTTTATATATTTCATCCCCAAATCTTATCCTTTAAATAACCTAACAAGGTATATGATAGTATATCATGTGATAGTCAAGTGAGGTACTGGGCTCTCAGGCCCCTTCTGGAGGATTGTGATCTGAATAGGTGCTGTTGTTACTCATTGACCCAGTTCACTAAACAGTGAAAAATATCCCCCCAAATTTTAGTGGCACTGACCACTTGCGCTTTATCACGTTTTGTAAATGAGCTGCACTGATGGAGAGTGCTTTCTTTTCAACTGGAATAAGTGTGAAGAAAGAAAACCAAAGTTTGAACATTTGGATGAAAGTAGACACCAGGATTAGAGAGGTTCATAAACTTATGTGGAGCTTCAAGTTGTGGCATAAAAAGGGAAAGCCTCACAGGAAAGCAGATAATTGAGGATACTTGTCTGACACAAAGAGCAAATTGTAGCTTGGATGCTCAGTGGTATCCATAACTTCTCTAACCCTTGTCTAATATCCCTACCATCTCCCACTGAGCATTTCAAAAAAGCCATAATCGGTACTATGAAGAAGTTATGCAAGAGTTTACCTAAAACTGCAAGGAACGTGGTAGATCTCAGTACAGACAATACTGTGACCTTATTCTTCCTGTGGTGTTACCACAGAACAGGATGTCAACCTTCATGCTTGGGGTGGGGAAGGACTCATCACCAGTTAGTAAAAAAGAATACATTTATTCCATAAGCCAAAGAAATATTCTAGGTACAGCATGAATTCCGATGTGGCAATGGGCACAGGGAGACTTGAAGAAATTCAAACTCCTTTTTTATGATGGCAATTGGACAAAGGATTTGAAAAGTATAAATATGAAATATTTTATAGAAAAAGACAAGCAGACAAGCAAACACTGAAAAAAGAAACAGTTACAACTTTAATAATAAATTTTTAATTTACTTTGATTTTTTTTAATAATAACAAAAATATTAGTTTACATTTATGTTTATTTTTGATAGTTTATTACTTATTTTAGGTGTATGAATGCTGTGCCTGTGTGAATGTAAACACATCACATGTGTGCAATGCCCACAGAGGCCAGAAAAGGACATCAGACTCCCTGGAATTGGAGTTATGAATGGTTGTTAGCTGCCATGTGGGTGTTGTGAACTGACCTTGGTTCTCTATAAAAACAGCCAGTGCTCTTAACTGCTGAGCCATTTCTCCAACTCCTGTTTTAGAATTTCTTTCTTTAAAAAAAATCATTTGTTTTATGTTATGTGCACGAGTGTAATACCTGCATGTGTGTAAGTGCACTCATGTTGTGCAGTGCCCATGGAGGACAGAAGAGGGCCCCTGAAACTGGAATTGCAGATGATTGTTAACTGCCATGTTGATTCTGGGATTCAAACCCAGATCTTCAAGAACAACCAGTGCTCTTAACCACTGAGCCATCTCTCCAGTCCTTTTCTTAAAACATCAAAGAATGCAGGAAAGGAGAAAGTGGCATGGGGTAAGACTATAAGAATGGATAAGAAGAAAATTTAATTTCTCTCTCCTCTCTTGATTGAAAATTTAGCCATGTAAGAAACTTTCTCAACTTAATAGAGGCTATTCCCCTTTAATCACCAAAAATTCGCTTGTTCTATGAGATGGACAAGTAGCTTTTTTTTCCTTTTTTATGAAGCCTAGGTTTATAATCCTTGCTCATGGATGTAGAAGACCTTTCTCATTTACTGTGTTCCCTATTTTCTCTTGGTCCACAGTTTCTTATTGCATGTGTCAAGCCTCAGTCTGGCAGATCTTGGAACACTTAAAAGAAAATCTCAATGCTGCAGGAACACACATGAAGGAATGGGGGCTATCCTTGGGAAGCTGAGACTAAGAGAAAACATGGATATTTCATTTTAAAGAGATTGATGGAACAAGGTATTTTGGTGCACGCCTTTAATCCCAGCAGAAGCAGGCCAATGTGAGATCAAGGCCAGCCTGGTCTACATAGTGAGTTCCAGGCCAAATGGGGCTACAAGGAGACTCTGTATCAAAAACAAAATAAATACCCAAAAACTTAATGGATAGCTATGCTAAAAAAGAAACAGGCTTTATCTCCATTGTTCTAGAACACAAATCTAGGTAAAAAAATAAAAAATAAAAAACTTCCAAAATAAAACACACAGTGGTATATTTCTCTTCATTTAAAATATATAAGCATAATTGTTATCCATTAGT